TGGATTTCTTGAACTACCTTAATCACGACGTGTCACTAAAGATTATGACATTTTTGGATGATCTATCTGATATTGTTCGTGCCTCTTCTGTCTCCCGTGATTGGAAACTGCTCTACATCGAAATCCATCACAATGAATTGGAAACTGCTTCATGTATTCTTGATACTTTTTTGCCATTTTCACTAATTAATCATTACCTGAATTTATATGTAAAAAATATTTATTTTTTTAATAAAAAATTATATATATCTTGTAGTTTAATTTCTACTCTTGTGGATTATCAAATAAGTTTTCAATTCATTTTTAAAATTTTAATCTATACTGAAAATGAAATTAACCAAGAAAATTTATAATTAATTAGCTTGAAAAAGGAGTAGAATATCTGTAATTAATTAGCTTATATATGATATGACATCATGAATGAATTTTTGTTTAAATTAAACTGGCTTTTCGGATTATTTGGATGTTTTTTCGTTTATTACTTCACTTTTGCATTGTGGGGAAAATAATTTATTCGAGTCATTTAATTTTAAAAATTTAATTAGTTTAATTAAAAATTCAACTTTAACTCTATTATTACTTTATTTTCAACACATTTTTAAAGTGATTATGTCTTCAAAATAAAGTAATAACGGTATATAGCTGTGAAATGTAAAAAAAATTGAAGAAAAAAGCCAATTCTTTGGTGAATCGGTTAAACCAGATCCAGTGATGAAAACGGGTTGATCACCAGGTCAGGTTTTAAAACATTGGATGGCACTATTATTAGCGAATAAATATTATATATAGGAACACTTTTGGAATTAAGAGCATGTTTGGTGTAGTTTGTGAGAATTTTTGCTTTTTGAGTGAGTGATAAATTTAAATTTTTATTGAAAAAAAAAATAGAGCTTTAATTTTTAGAAATGTGAAAAAATGAATAAAAAGTAAGTAAAAAGAGAGTTTATGAAAAGTTTGGATTTGAAACTTTTGAGTTTTTACTGTTTAAGAGTTTTTTGAAGTTAAAAAAATATTTAAAAGTATAAATTTAAAAAAAAAAAAATTAAATATATAAAACATAAATACTGCCCTGAAACTAAAGTTTAGTAGCCACACCAAACAGCCTAAAAAAGGAAAACCGCGTCAAAACAGTCGTAAAGAAATAAAATATTGGTTGTTCACAGCGGAGTGGACTTTGAATTCTATAAATCCGCTGTTGCCTCCCACTGCACAATGAAAATTCACACTAAAGGAAAAAAATGGACAATAATTTTCCAAATTTTTTAAAAATGTAAGGCAGATATGGCACTATTATTGGCGATAAAATAAAGTATGAACACTTTTGGAATTAACCCTAAGTTCCTGTCACTGTTTTTATTTGAGTAAAATCT